CTTCGCCGTTGTGTCTATACGCTGCCTTCGGTCTAGCCGGGAAGTACTGTAGCAGTCCTGCGAGTAGACTTGCGCTGACACTTTTATCGCATGCCCGACTGCAAGCCCACACATGAGGTTCCACTGCCTGCGCTCTCTAGAGTGCCCAGCGTGACTCATCAGACCTTGCCCGCAAACAATGCAGGCTTGGCCGTCGCGTGAGCTGTCAAGGTCGTTTTGATGTCTAGCCTCTTCTCTCGTGAGCTATGCACCTTCTGCTGATTGGCTGGCGGGCGCTCCCAGATCCCGTAACCTCTGCGCGGACGCGTAGACCAGACACACGTCAACTGGCTTATTCACTGTGTGCATCTTGTTTCTGCAGAGCCTTTTGTTAGCTCCTTTTCGCAGTACACTGTCCCACCTATTTGGTCTTAATGACTTCTTGACTTGGGGAACCTTCTATAGTCAACTATCTCTCGTTCCGTCAGCGCTTCTCCGTGTGACGTTAGAGAATCAAGTCAAGTTTATCGGGTTCTATGCCGTGGGTGAGCTCAGAACACTACAATTATCACGCCCAGTTCCGCACAGGACAAAAGATGCGTAAGACCTGTGCGAATTATTTATTGTGTACAGGAAGTCAGTGGTGTTCTGAAACACCGGTAGGCCCCGGGCCTTGTGCGCACATACGTTTTTTGGCGTTGTAAGAGCGTGAATGCGTAAAATGCATGCAAGAGTGAGTCAGTGGCTATTTGACCAACTGCTTGGCGGGTAGCAGCCTACGGCTCCTGTGATTAGCTGCCCCAGGAGGAGCGAAGTCACGTGACGTTTTACGGGATTGCCGCCGGCGATAGAGCTTTCCCCATACACCAACCAAGGTGAGATGTCGACATTGTGGTGAATGATGAAATGCATGAGTAACTCAAATGCACCTGCCGATTTAAGTGCGTGTCGATGGCGACAGATAATGCTCGAAACTGAGGCAGGGCTGATGATGTGACCTGTGCAGTATGCAGTTTGAGGCACCGGTCAGAGGGTGTGTTGTTATGATCTCCTTAACGTGTGCCGGTGAATTGGCACGTTGGCGTGAGAGGATAGGGTGTGTAAATTTGAGACGGACGAATCCGCCAATTAACG